GGTTTCCGACCTCCACGACCTCATCAATGATTGTTGTGCTTACAAAGCTCAGGACATCCCGATGTCTGAACACTCTAGGAATAGGGCCGACCCATCTCGTGTGAGAGAGAACTAGGACCAGGCCGAAGCAATGATGCCATACATCGACTAGCACCTTAGAGATATTCAGGCGCAGATTGGCGCCATTCAAGATCAACTTCAACAAGTAAAGGAGGGTCGAGTTGACGCCTTTGCCAGTTGCCATGCCTCATTCAACTGAATGAAGACCTTCATGGATTCCATTATCTCCGAGCCCCTCCTGCCGAATTTCATATTCCCAACGTTGGAGACCTATAATGGGAGTATATACCCCGAGGACCGCATGGAAAGCTTTTGGGCCCTCATGCTCCTACATGGATACTTCGACATCCTCATGTGCCGAGCCTTTCAGGCCACATTAAAGGGAGCAATACACTGATGGTTCTCGACACTGCCTCCACACTCCATTGGCTCTTGGGACCAGTTCGCAGACCTCTTCTTAGGTCACTTTGTGAGTAGCTGATGGTGTCAGAAAACCGTCATCTCCCTAATGTCCGTTAAGCAGAAGTGTAGGGAAAGCCTTCCGACGTATATAAAGATGTTCAACAAGGAAGAACTTGAGGTCAAGGACCTTGAGCCCTCGGTCTCCATGCACATGGTCATTAGTGGCCTCTAGCCTGGACCCCTCAGTTGGTCTATTTCCAAGACTCCACTCAAGACTAAAGTTGAGTTCTTAAAAAAGGTCCAAAAGTACATCACTGTTGAGGAGGCCGAAACTAACAAATGCCTCCAAGATCCAAAAGTAGAGCCTAGTGACAAGAAGTGGAAGGAAATGGATGGCCACGGCGATGACTCCACCAACAAGGGCGATGAGAAGAGACTGCCGACCCCTTCCTTCGACAAGTACACACCACTAATCTCCTCTCGAATGCACATATTAATGCAAGTAAGGAAGGAGGAATTCATGAAGTGGCCAGCCAAATTAAAAAGGAACCCGAGAAGGGAAACCCTAAGAAGTACTGTAAGTACCACCGTGACACCAGCCACGACATTTGATGAGAGTAGAATTTATCATATTTTTATCCCCAAATATTCTGTCTTTCATACTGAATTAGTACTTAATTGGACTCATATTTGTTGTATTTCGGTTCAGGGCATGAAAGAAGGCATCAGAAGCAAAGAAAGGCAAATCGGATGATTTTTCATAGTTTC